TTCAAATTATCATGCTAGTGAAAATACTCTGGGGATGTTTTGCTTCTAACTTAAGTCAATTGTGTTTAAATGTTTATTGGGTAAGATCGAAAGCCGTCCAAACTAATGATACGACTTGATTATTATTTAACCAAACAAAAAGAGCGAAAGCCGTTGATTGGTTAAATAGGAATCATTGACCTTTTTAGAAAACGATTTTGAAACTATTTTCGGACGCGTTTGTAGGTTTGAAATCTGACTCTTGGTCAAAAGCCAAAAGTCTCTTTAAGTTAATCTTTCCAAGTAAAATCACTTTTCTGTTAAGTCAAAACTATCAATTTCTTAAAAATAGGTTTACCTCTTTAACGCGGAAGGCACCCTTTATATGTGACAATAAAGGAATTTAATTTAAAGAGTAAACTCGGTTCTTAGTAGTCAAAAGCTACAAGTTCCCGTTAAATCGATTCTTTGCTATCAATAGAAAATACTGCCCCATAAGTAGTTTTATCTACGCATGACCGGACCAATATCTGATTACATGATTTACATTCCAACCTGTCTTTTAAACTGTTATTTACCTCGCTCATTTACTTTGTGCACTGCACTCACATCAATATTCTTGTTCGCCTTAGATAAGCACCTTAGCAATAGAGTTGATAGATTGACAATTGGTCTCTGTGGTTCGATAATCTTATATATTACTTCGATAGGCTGTACACTTGCAGTACTACATTTAGGCTATACGTTACAGATTAAACCCATCACATCCTCAACCATGTCACCGATCAAATTAAAGTTCTCCTCATACTCCATAATCGGTCGACTACTTGAAGCATGCGTGTTGCTAGTCTCTGGTACATTAACCGGTAGTTCTTCACCATTATACATCCAAACCCAATAATTTTCAATGAATCCCCTTCTATGTAGATGACGTGTTACTTCCTCTGGGTCACTAATTATTGGTCTACATTCACATTTAAGACAGGGACACCTAACCCCTCCTTCGCTTCGACAATAATCCTGAGCAAACGCCCACTTAATAAACCCATCAACTCCTACTATAAAATTGGGTTTAAGTCCACTTCTTCCTGGATATGTTCTATCGTACATCCAACTGCGATAATACCGATAATATTTCATACTGCACATTTATACAATCATTGTCTTTTTCATTAGAAATATTAATCAACTTAATAATATTATTCTTAAACTATTTAATACTATTCTTAAAAATATAAATTTTGCTTTTTTATATATATACTAACATATAAATAAATATTCAAATGTAAAATATATAATTTTTTATTATATAACAATAATATCAAAAAACAATAATATAACATATTTACTTTTTATTATATATACAACAATAATATTAGAAAACAAATAATGTAACATATATACTTTTTATTATATATATAACAATAATATTAAAATAATAATATAATATATATACTCTTTTTTTAATTATGTTTTTTATAAATTCTTATTTTAATATATAATTTTTTTTTCATATCTTTAACATATAAATAAAAAAATAAAACTATTATAATAAATATAATTTATATTTTTGTTTTTAAATATGTTATTAAATTTACGTGTTAACATATATATATATATATATATATATATATATATATATATATATATATGCATCTATAAAAAATAAGACTTTTAATTTTATGTTTTCTAAAATTTTTTATTACCAGTACATATACTACTAACAAAATACATATACTCCATAACCACAAAATACATATACTACTAATCTATATAATACATATAAAATATAAAAAAAATGCATAAATACCTCTATATAATTTCTTCACTTAATTTGCTTCTTCTTGTGTAGCTCTTGGTGTTCTTCTTCAAATTTCTCTACAAATAATGAACAAATGAACAAAAACCCTTTTTAATATTTATTACCAGTATAATAAATAACGAACAAATGAAATAAAAATTTATCAAAATATGAATACCTTATTTTTCTTCAACAATTTGGGATAGAGGAAATTTGATTTGGGAATTTGGGTTTGAGAGGAAGAAGAATGGGTTTGAGAGGAAGAAGAAAGGAAGAGGAAAGGAAGAAGAAAGGAAGAGGAAAGGAAGACAACGCTGCTGTAACGAATGAGAATTTTGGAGATGTAAACGTCAAGTAGCGACGTGACTGTCACGTCGCAACATTGCCACGTGATACTCACGTCGCTACACACTAAACAGAAATATTATTCTTTTTCCCACTCTGCAACCCTGTCATCAACCAACTTTATTTTCCCCCTTTAATGTAGCAACGTGACTATCACGTCGCTACCAAATTTCAAATTTCCCCCTTCTGTAGCGACGTGTAAGACACGTCGCTGATATTTTTACTATACAAACTTTTCTGACTTGCGTTATGTATCATTAAAATATGTTTGCGACGTGGTTATCACGTCGCAACTGTATTTATTACTCACGTGATAACCACGTCGCTATTATATGTCGCTGGGACATATCTTTCTTGTAGTGATTTTAATAAATATTTAACTTATACATGCTTATATATGTTTCTCAACTTAGACATGGTCAAATGTTTTAATATACTATGATATTTGTTTTAATTCATTTATGATTTAATTCATTTAAAATAATAATAATTTATTATATTTAATTGTCGATCAAAGCAACATATGATGATTAGCATGTAAAATGGACATTCTTTCAAGACTATACTATCTATCTATGTGCGAATATTGTCTTGTAGTTTGATTGAAAATACAAAATATCAAGACACATAAGAGGAGTATTGTAATAGAATTTTAAAAGACGATTTCTCTTTATACCTTTAGTTTTGAACTAGCTAAGAGGCTCAATGATTATACCCCAAAGGGTAGGTGTCGATTCACTGCATCATATGCAGAACAAGTATGCTATCCTGGTTAAGAATATATATGATCTTATGAAAAATCACATATCACATTAATAGATCAACAAACTGTTATAAACACCTTTATATAAGAGATAAATTACACAATTTTACAAAAAATTCAAATTTAAATCTAATTCACGTCAACTTATTTTTATTACTAATATGTGTGTTGTAGTGTTAATTTTACATGTGAGTTCCTCTTTCACTATACTGAAAATTCAAATCCATCATTGCATTTCACATTTATCGTTCATCGATCTTTTGGTTTCCGTGTGAAACGTCTTTAACTATAATTTTTATTTTTCATCCTTAAAATTACATTAAAAAGAGAAATAAAAAATTGTATTTTTTCACAGTCATTCCTTAATATATGTAATATTTTAAAGAGTTTTTTTAATTTAAAAATTTCAAATAAACAAATTATTTATTAAAAAAATTAATATTACAATTTCCAATACGTTAATTGCATTATTTTTTTAAAGAAATATTATACAATATTATTAGACATATTAAAAAAATAATGTCTAGACATTAAAAAATTTGTTTTAAATACAAATTTTTCAAAATTTTTAGGTGTATTTTCAAAATAAGAACAATTTATACTAACTACTAGAATCATGCCAACACATTCTTTAAACAATTAATAATATTTTTTTTATTATTTAAAAAAATCATTTTTTATACTAAAATATGAAAAATATGATTTTCAAACACAATATTAGCACCATATTAATATTTAAATACAACAAATTATTATTTTAATTATTGATCAAAGCAACATATGATGATTAACATGTAAAATGAATATTTTTTCAAGACTATCTACAACTCTATTAGTTTGCCTATGTGCGCAGTTTGATTGAAAATGCAAAATATTCAAATATATAGGAGTATTGTAATAAAATTTTAAAAGACGATTTTTCTTTATACCTTTATATAAGAGCGAGATTACACTATTTTTCAAGAAATTCAAATTTAAATCTCATTCATGTCAATTTATTCTTATACTAATTTGAGCGTTGTAGTGTTAATCTTGTAGATCAGATCTTCATTCATCACACCATAAATTCAAATCACCATTACATTCCACATTTATCATTCATCACTCTTCTGTTTCCCATGCAAAATATCTTTAACTATAATTTTTTATTTTTCATCCCTAAAATTACATTCGAAGGAGAAATAAAAAATTGTAATTTTCATAGTCATTCTTTAATATATGTAATATTTTAAAAAATTAATTAAAAAATTTCAAAAAACATATTATTTATTTAAAAAGTTAATATTACAATTTCCAATACATTAAATACATAATTTTTAATAATTAAAAAAAAATTATTATACAATATTATTAGGCATATTAAAAAAATAATGTCTAGACATTAAAATTTTAATTTTATATACTAAATTTTTAAAATTTTAGATGTATTTTCAAAATAAGAGCAATTTATAATAACTTCTAGAATCATGCCAACACACTCCTTAAACAATTAATAATATATATATATATATATATATTTTTTTTTTTTATTATTTAAAACAATAAAAATTTTAATACTAAAATATGAAAAGCATGATTATCAAACACAATATTAGCACCATATTAATATTTTTAACCTATGCTATAGAAGTACATATTCCCAAGACACTGTTTAATACTTTTCCTTTATGTTTTTTATCAACTAAAGTTAATTGAATCACACCCTCTTTGCAATTTTACAACCAAAGTTAAAGTGTTACTTCACACTATAAAGCCACACACTCTCTCTTCTCAAATCTATGTTCTCTTCTCTCCACTTCCACCTTTGACCACTGTCCAACAACACTCTCTCTCTCACCAACAAATCACACACACATTTTCCAGCAAAGGAAGTGTTTTTTTCCTTTCACTTATGTTGTCAAAACCAAAAAAACAACATTGACACTAAAAGAAGGGTTGCATCAGATCTCCTTAAAATGTTAAAAAAAAACCACACATTACATTCACTTCATCACTTCTTGACTACCCTTTTATAAAAATCTAATTTTTATAAAAACTAACACCAACCCTTTTATCAAAATCCAGTTTTTTTGAACCTTTTCATCATAAGACAGTGTTTTTCATTTTGTTCTAATGGCTGAAGCTTCTGATGTTAAAGCTTCATTGCCTGAAGCAGAGAAGAAGAAGGAACAAAGCTTACCCTTTTATCAGCTTTTCTCATTTGCTGATAAATATGATTGGATTCTTATGATCTCAGGAAGTATTGGTGCCATTATTCATGGCTCTTCTATGCCTGTTTTTTTCCTTCTCTTTGGTCAAATGGTTAACGGTTTTGGTAAAAACCAAATGGATTTGAAGAAAATGACTGATGAAGTTTCCAAGGTTAACAAAATTCATTCAAAATTCTCAAAACATTAATCTTTCTCTTAGATCTGTGTGCTTTAGTTAACACTTTTTTTGATCATTATTGCAGTATGCACTTTACTTTGTGTACCTTGGCCTTGTGGTTTGTATATCATCATATGCAGGTATGTCTTTTGTTCACATGTAACATCATCATGTATTAAGATTAATTATTGTATGGTTCACATTTTCTGTCACACATTAATAATTAAACTTCTATGAAAAGTCTTGAAAAAGTAATTAAATTTTTTTGATGATTTTTTGTAATTAATTTACCAGAGATTGCATGTTGGATGTATACTGGAGAGAGGCAAGTTAGCACCTTGAGGAAGAAGTATTTAGAGGCAGTGTTGAAACAAGATGTTGGTTTCTTTGATACAGATGCTAGAACTGGAGATATAGTTTTCAGTGTTTCAACTGATACACTTTTAGTCCAAGATGCTATTAGTGAGAAGGTGCTTAATTTGGATTTTTTTTTCAATTTTTAATGTTTTTTTGTTGGGTTTAATGTGGTTTAAGGTTGTTTTAATATAGCATTTTTTGAAGCTTAGTCACTAGTTTTAATTTTGCCTTAGTTGGTGTACATTAGAGTGGGCCCCTCATTTGATCATAGCTCATAGTGGCGCATGTTAGCCAGACTGATATTAGCATGCGCCTTAGAGGTTGCTGACATTATTAGTTTCCTTTTTTCTCTATTAAAAATTGTGTAGTATATAGTCCCCGGATGCGACACGTGACAGACACCAGATACATATTTGAGAGATTTAATGTGTTATGGGATTAGGAAATCTGATACGACACGGACACCAAATATGAGACTCACTCAGATGTCTACTCGTGATGGACATCGAATACACATTTGTGATTTAAAGTGTTTTAGAACATTCGGACATCTGGTATGACACTGACACTAAATATGAGACTGACTCGGATGTCTACTCGTGATGGACATCAAATACACATTTGTGATTTAAAGCTTGACATACATCTGATACTAGATACACATTTAAGATTTAAAGCTCGACATACATCTGAAACAACACTTTGTTTGTTTATTATAGGTTGGGAATTTCATACATTATCTATCAACTTTTCTAGCTGGGCTTGTGGTTGGTTTTGTGTCAGCATGGAGATTAGCACTTCTTAGTGTTGCAGTGATTCCTGGAATTGCTTTTGCTGGTGGTTTATATGCTTATACACTCACAGGACTTACGTCGAAGAGCCGTGAATCGTATGCAAATGCTGGCATAATTGCTGAACAGGTAAAGGCTAAATTCATTGTTGAACCTTGAAAAACAGTGTGAATGAATGAACATGTTTCTTTATATGGAAAGTAACACAAAAAATTGCTCATTAGAAAAAAGCATGTTTAGGAAAAATCACTTTTGTCCTTTTTACTTTTTGAATACAAGCAGCGCATGGTGATCCTTATGAATTAGTCACACAAGTTCAAGGAATGTTTAACTTTAAATGATGTACTTTAATGTGCAATACTCATAAAGTTTGTAGCTTTTTTCTTTTTCGAGTAACGTAAATAATCAAAAAGCATGATGGTGATGATTATTGATGATGATAGTTGTGTATGTTTGTTACTCATTGGTTTGAAAATTGACACAATTAAAAAAAAAGCTTCCGATTAATGTAGGGAACTAATGGATCGATCTTCATTGTTATTTGCTATTTGTTCAGGCGATTGCTCAAGTTCGAACGGTTTACTCTTACGTTGGTGAGAGTAAGGCGTTGAATTCTTATTCGGATGCAATACAAAACACATTGAAGCTTGGATACAAGGCGGGAATGGCTAAAGGTTTAGGCTTAGGTTGCACATACGGTATAGCTTGCATGTCGTGGGCGCTAGTTTTTTGGTATGCCGGTGTTTTTATCAGGAACGGCCAAACCGATGGAGGCAAGGCATTCACAGCTATTTTCTCTGCCATTGTCGGTGGAATGTGAGTGCAATTTGTATACCTTTAAGCTGATGAATGAATATTTATCATTTTTCGATCGTGACATGTCGTTTATTTGCTTCAATAGGAGTTTGGGTCAGTCGTTTTCGAACTTAGGTGCTTTTAGCAAAGGCAAAGCAGCCGGATTCAAATTGATGGAAATCATCAAGCAGAGACCAACGATTGTGGAAGATCAATTGGAAGGAAAGTGCTTAGCCGAGGTTAATGGAAACATTGAATTTAAGGATGTTAGTTTTAGCTATCCATCAAGACCGGACGTGATGATTTTTCGGAATTTCTCAATCTTTTTCCCTGCTGGTAAAACCGTTGCGGTTGTTGGTGGTAGTGGATCCGGAAAGAGTACCGTTGTTTCGTTAATTGAAAGGTTCTACGATCCTAATGAAGGTACACACAACTAGAAACAAAAGTTTTCATTATTTTCGGTGAACAATTATGTTGATCTTTCGAAACCGCTGTGCAGGTCAGGTTCTTCTCGATAATGTGGACATTAAGACGCTACAACTAAAATGGTTACGCGATCAAATTGGTTTGGTGAATCAAGAGCCTGCACTTTTTGCAACTACCATTCTTGAAAACATACTCTATGGAAAATCCGATGCAACAATAGATGAAGTAGAAGCCGCAACTTCTGCTGCAAATGCTCATAGTTTTATTACATTGCTTCCTAATGGCTACAACACTCAGGTTGGTAATAATTTCAGAACATAAGTTTTTAATTTTTTCGTCTTCAAATCGATCATGTAATTGTAAATAATATCTGATCTGTTATCAGGTTGGAGAGCGAGGAGTTCAATTATCAGGGGGACAAAAGCAAAGGATTGCAATTGCGAGAGCAATGTTGAAAAACCCGAAGATCCTTCTCTTAGACGAAGCAACTAGTGCTCTTGACGCAGGATCTGAAAGCATTGTTCAAGAGGCGCTAGACCGTCTCATGGTTGGTAGAACAACCGTAGTCGTTGCTCATCGTTTATCAACCATTAGAAACGTCGACAGCATTGCAGTTATTCAACAAGGAGTAGTCGTCGAGACAGGAACACACGAAGAACTTTTTGCCAAGGGAGGAACCTACGCTTCACTAATCCGATTCCAAGAAATGGTTGGAAATAGAGACTTCTCAAACCCTTCAACTCGCCGGAACCGCTCTTCACGTTTAAGCCATTCACTTTCAACAAAGTCTTTAAGCTTAAGGTCAGGAAGCTTGAGGAACTTGAGCTACCAATACAGCACCGGAGCCGATGGTCGAATTGAGATGATCTCGAATGCCGAAACCGATAAGAAGAATCCAGCTCCAGACGGATACTTCTTCCGATTACTCAAGATGAATGCTCCCGAGTGGCCTTACTCGATAATGGGAGCCGTTGGATCGATTCTTTCTGGATTCATCGGTCCAACTTTTGCAATTGTTATGAGCAATATGATTGAAGTCTTTTACTATAGCAACTATGCATCCATGGAGAAGAAAACTAAAGAATATGTTTTCATCTACATTGGTGCCGGAATCTACGCCGTTGGTGCTTACTTGATACAACATTACTTTTTTAGTATCATGGGAGAAAATCTCACCACAAGGGTCAGAAGAATGATGCTTGCAGGTATGTTACATTGATCTTCCGTCTCTCGACCTTTTTGAAAACAAAATCGACTTATAAGTTTCGAATGTATGTTATTTTTTGGTTAGCGATTTTGAGGAATGAAGTTGGATGGTTCGATGAGGAGGAGCACAACTCGAGTCTTGTTGCGGCCCGCCTTGCCACAGATGCAGCCGATGTGAAGTCAGCCATTGCTGAGAGGATATCAGTCATTTTGCAAAACATGACATCTCTTCTCACTTCTTTCATTGTTGCTTTCATTGTTGAATGGAGGGTTTCTTTGCTCATCCTTGGAACTTTCCCTCTTCTTGTTCTAGCAAATTTTGCTCAGGTAGATCTCACCCCTAAACAATATTCATCATAACATGTTAATTCGCATAACCTTCATTAGTCTAGAAATCATGCATGCGTTCTGATCAAGATCAGATGACTTATGTTCGGACATTGATAAAATCAGTTGAAATACAATGTGCGAACGTGAGTCGTCTGATCTTGATTAGATATTAATGTAGAGAAACTTTAATCCAAAAAATATTTTTAATAATTTTATTTTATAAAGTGCATGTGTTGACCCTAAAGAGTAGATAGGGACTATATCTACAAGGGTAACTCTAAATTTTAACAATAGAGATTCTTACTTTATCACTAATATTTGATACCTTTAGTAACACTTTCCACTTTTACAGTGTAAGAATCTATAACCACAAAAGAAACTGTCATTAAACGACAAATGCTAAGACCCTACCCTAGTTTGAAGGGTGCACGTGCTTCCTTCCACTTCTCTGCATTAAATCATATATTTTTGAATATTAAAAGCACATTAATTGCACTGAAATATTTATTTATTGGTATAGATTCCATACCAAAAGACCTTCATTGCTAGTATTCATGAAACAATTAAATACTAGTAATATTTTTAAACTAAATTTGTTAAGAGTATTTTTGGGGTATTGTGAACTGAAAATTCATGTGTATAGAGGAAACTTCATTATAGTATAATTTTTTATTATTATACATTTAATATATTTTCATAAAATCCTAAACCTTTAAATTTGTCTAGGAATTTGAACTTTTTTTTTTGTTGTTACCTTCTCCCCGTGACCCTTTCATTCTTTTTCAGGTCTAGTTAATTTCTCTAGACATGTGACCTCTATTTTATATATATATATATATATATATATATATATATATATATATATATATATATATATATATATATATATATATATATATATATATATATATATAACCAATGGGTACTATTATTGTTTATTTTAACCAATGGAGATTTGGACTGTGCACGTGAGATCATGTGGGACTTTTCTTCACTAACACATGCTTCACATATTTTTTTAATACTAATAACAATATACTTCACATATTGTTATTCCTTAAGATTTATTCTTCCGAAAAAATTAATTTTTAAATTTTATTGAATAATTAATGTATCTGATAAAATATTTTTTTCCATAATTTTTTAGCTTAAAAATTAATCTTTGTAAAGAGATAGAGTCCTACGATTTGCGCATGCTATAGACACAGAACAAAAATAATTGATGGGTAAGTAAGGGATGTACCTTCCAATTAATATATCAAAGTCTTTAATGCAGTTGGTGATGTCCTTATTATATCAACAATCTGTCCCCTATATAGGACCCACCCTTTTACTCATTTCCTTTCATCCTTATGCTAAAAAAATTAATGCATCAATTAAATTAGTCCTACGAAGACAACTCGGTTGATTACAGTGGTGCAAATTTGAACTTGCTATATTTTATTTATTCATAATTTAGCTTAGAAGATAGAAATTTTCTTGAAGAGTTTGTTTAGAATGTTATGCTTTTGATTAAGTGCTAACAATGAGTTTTGTTCTTTGTTTGTGTTTGGATTTTACAGCAACTATCTCTCAAAGGGTTTGCTGGAGACACTGCGAAGGCTCATGCTAAGACAAGCATGATTGCAGGAGAAGGAGTAAGCAACATCAGAACAGTTGCAGCATTCAATGCTCAAAATAAAATGCTGTCCATCTTTTGTCATGAGTTACGTGTCCCGCAGAGCCAGAGCCTGCGTCGAAGTTTGACATCGGGACTTTTGTTTGGTTTATCTCAGTTAGCCCTATATGCATCTGAAGCTCTCATTCTATGGTATGGTGCACATTTAGTGAGCAAAGGCGTTTCGACGTTTTCAAAAGTCATCAAGGTGTTTGTTGTTTTGGTGATCACGGCTAATTCTGTGGCGGAAACTGTTAGTCTTGCTCCGGAGATTATCCGAGGAGGTGAAGCTGTTGGTTCGGTTTTCTCAATTCTTGACCGATCAACTCGAATTGACCCTGATGATCCTGATGCTGAAATGGTTGAATCGGTTCGTGGAGAGATTGAGCTTAGACATGTTGATTTTGCGTATCCTTCTAGGCCGGACGTCATGGTGTTCAAAGATTTCAGCCTTAGAATTCGCGCAGGTCAGAGTCAAGCTCTTGTCGGGGCGAGTGGTTCTGGGAAGAGTTCTGTTATTGCATTGATAGAACGTTTCTACGATCCATTTGTAGGTAAAGTAATGATCGACGGAAAGGACATTAGGAAGTTGAATTTAAAGTCTTTAAGGCTTAAAATTGGTTTAGTGCAGCAAGAACCGGCATTGTTCGCATCCAGCATTTTCGACAACATTGCATATGGTAAAGAAGGTGCAACAGAAGCCGAGGTTATCGAAGCGGCTCGTGCAGCCAATGTGCATGGATTTGTAAGTGGTTTACCCGAAGGTTACAAGACACCGGTCGGCGAACGAGGCGTGCAACTCTCCGGCGGTCAAAAGCAAAGGATCGCCATTGCAAGAGCTGTTTTAAAGGATCCCGCAATACTTTTACTCGACGAGGCGACAAGTGCACTCGATGCCGAATCCGAATGCGTTCTACAAGAAGCCTTAGAGAGGCTAATGAGGGGTCGAACCACCGTTCTCGTGGCTCATCGTCTGTCAACCATTCGAGGTGTCGATTGCATTGGCGTCGTGCAAGACGGGCGCATCGTTGAGCAAGGAAGTCATTCTGAACTCATAAGCAGACCAGAAGGAGCTTATTCTAGACTCTTGCAGCTTCAACATCATCACATATGAGAGTGAGAAATAAGAGAAAATTTTCATTTCTTAAAATATGATTATGATAATGATAATGACTTTTGTGAGTTGATAATTATGTTTGGTCCCATTAACCTCATGCTTTGATTTTTTCTTCATTTTTAGATGTAGATAAGTGTTCTAAAATGAGGCTTGTACCTTAAGAACAAAAGTACTCTATTTTTCAATAGAGTATCAAGTATTATATATTATCAATTATTAATCATATTTTCAAAGGTGCATAAGCATGTTATCTATCTGTTTTTGTTTTAGCTTTTCTAGTACTTTACTATTAATATAAATCAGTTCCAACAAATGCATGTTGTCTTGTTTTTGCCTTTTTCTTCATGCATGTGTGTTTGTCACATGATTTTAATTTTATTTTTAGTTAAAGATAAACTCAACTTTTTCTTTGAGGGTCCCTAAGAAGGACTATTAGCAATGCTTATAACTCTTTTTAACAAAGTAAGAGATAAAATAAGATGCTTATAACTCTTTTTAACAAAGTAAGAGATAAAATAAGTTGAGATATATGGTGTGAATTATTGGTAATGAAGGGATGGATGGAAATTTTTTATTATATGCTTTTAAGGCTTTAAAATGAACCACTTCAAGGGAACTTTATCACCACAAATAACTGAAAAGGAGTCCACCTTTTTAAATTAACATAGTATTTTCAATGATGGTGCTATTACTCTTATGTCTTTATAAATTTTTTATAAAATTTATTTTTTTTATCAGAAATTTCAAAAGAATATTGGATTTTTTTGAAATTTTTTTTAAAAAATTACTGGATTTTTCGAAAAATCCAATAGTTTATTTTCAACAATTTTTTTTCACAACTACACATTTTGAAATTTCTGATAAATTACAGTTTTTTCGAAAGTTATTGAAAATTTCAAAATTTTCAATAATATAAATTTTTTATTTATGAAAAAATTCATAAATGAACCACCGAAAATTTGATATATTACTGAAAAATTTGAAAAATTTATTAAAAATTTCGTTCTTACCATCTACAAATTTATTCATGGGTAATTTACGAATTAAGAAAAAATGGGGGTGAATCTAAAACCTTTATAGTTGTGCAAAAAAAATCTGAGAAATAAAAATTGCAAAATTTTTTATTAATGTTTATGCTCGTAAAAGTTCAAACTGTCCCAAAAAAATCTGGCGTTATGCCATCCTTAGAATAGAACCATACATACATGTACTTGTCTACAAGAAAACTAATCAAAGTAAAAAGAGAGCATGGCCCCCATTGAGGTGTAATAATATAAGAGAAAATTTGTGTTTGAGAAGAAGAGAAAATGATAGGTGAGAAAAATAGAGGTAATGTTTTTGTGTATAGAAACAAGAATTTCAAAAACATTTGGGTCTTGGTATGATTGATGCATCACATCATTGAGCCTCAATTATGTATGGCTGCATGAATTTTGTAAAAATATATTTCAAGATGATTTTGTTATGCTACAACCCCATGGCTAAGACTTTTTATACATAAAGACAAAAGGTATTCAATTATTTGAGATAAATATCGACAAATATTACGAGTTTTTGCCATAATATGTTACGTATAATGGTGCTGCAAAGTGGTTGTATAGTGAGACTTTGCCATCAACAATAGTTTATCCTATAAAATTCACATAATCTTCTTAAGGTTAAGAAATGTAGCAAGATTACTATTATTAATCATATGGTCACATAATGTAAAGTCTCTAAGGTAAAAATGTAATTTGATAAGTCAGAAGAGAAATGAATCTAGTGATAGATTTTTGAAAGTGAAGAATCTAACTAAGTTGTGTACTATGCTATTGTTTAAGTGGTTAAATGGTCCACAAGCTGTCTTGGATACAGTACATTTTTGTTGTTTACTTCTTTCTTGTTTCTATTTTAGTGGACTCAGATATAACTTTCATATGTTGCTTTCAGTGTATATCATTTATACTTTCATAAAAGAGAATAAATGATATATATTGAAAAATAAAATAATTTTATATTATCAACCAATTACAATTATATTAAATATCGAATTATACTGATATTTTTAAATAAATTATATAATATAATTAAAGTTCGAACCCTAATAGTAACTAATGTATGTGTGAATGCGTGAAAAATATAAGTGCAGGGTTTTCAAATTCAAGACTAAATATTTATCCAATGGCCATATTTGAATTGCAAATATTAATTCTTGTGGATGAAATAGTGCAGAATGACTGAATTTTCTGAGTAAAAGTGGGTCCTATACATGTTGAAGTTAGATTCTAAAATGGTACATATGTACAGAAAACTTGAACCAGCTTTGTGACACAGTAGTGACTAGTGAGTCTTTTATTCAAACATTTTTTACCATGATTCTGAAAACTTTCAGAATCCAATAGTCCATCCAGCTAGCAGCAGCAGCAGTGCAGCACCATATCACATTGTCACATACATTGCTTTGATAATTGAAGTTCTGAATATTTAGTATTTATGGCAGTGCAATGCATGATGATATAATAGATATAAACATTATAATAAAAATCACAACAAAACAATTACTACTGTTTTTTCTGGTAAGTATAATGCATTGGATTCACTGACTTCAATTTGACTTATTCAGAGATAAGATTATAAGAAAGGGACCCTTTTTGTCAGTTCCTTATTACATCAAGCTTGGTAAGTTTTCTGAACACCCATTTCATCTTACCACACTTAATCTGACAAACTATTTCAACCATTATATTTATGATTTAAAGAATTAATCTCTATAAATGCCTAGAAGATATCATAATCCTAAAAAAAATTTGAATAAGACGATAAAGATTTATTTCTGTTTAATCAAAGATTTTTATTTAAAAATACATTAGTATTAAGTCTTTTGAAATTCCATCCAATCTCATCATTTTCTATGAAGTACGAACCGGACACAGAAAAACAGATTCAAACATCAAACACAACTCAGACACATACATAAATTTCATACATAATAGTAATATTTAGACGTCAATATCAATAGTAATTTTAAAAAATATATAAATTAAACAATAATCACAAATATCATAGTCGTATTGATGTACACAAATAGGAATACTACATTTTTTTTCCAAAGTTATCGGTATTATATTGATACTATATTGTTTGTAAAAAATTTGAAATGCGAGTGTATTTACAAGATTCCTACTATCACTTACCTTAAAAAGAGGGTAAAGAAGTGTTTGCAGATATAGCCAATTTCTATTTTAGTTAAAACAGCATATGTTCAATGGTCAACACATATTAATGACCATTGCAGTAGTGATGATGGGAGAGACATATCATTGATAAGCCTCATAAATAGCTTTCATGTTCAAGCTTTTTATTTAGAGTAATAATTATTTGAGGAATCATGAATTGGATGTTACATTTGTAGACATGAAAAGAATAAGAATATTGAATTACTAAAAATCCATACACAAGAGATTACGATTACTCATGTTGAATCAATCACTTTTATGTTAATAGATTGTATAACTTTGATCTGTTACAATTTGTCATGTTATTAATTGGAAAAAACATCTTGATGGTAATGCATGTGACTACCTTGACGTTTATGTCTCTGCTTTCATTCTTCTATTTAATTATTTGATTGCTCAATACTTTTTAATTTTCTTTTATAAATAAAATGGAGTAATAGATTTTTGTTAAGGGTGGTATACTTTATTCTTTAAAGGAGACATTATTGGTGTCAAGTTAGGGCTTCTAGGATTCTAATGGTCTAATAAATAACGCTGGGCTTTATTTGATGTTTTAATGAGCCTAATTTTATACTCCATTAATTTTGACATCAAATCTCAACCGTTAAAAGAATCGATTAAATGATCATATTAAATAAAATAAAAAAATAAAAAATATATAATCTATTTTATTTTCTAAAAAATAGATTATTTATATGATCGTTTGATCAAGTATTATTAATGGTTGAGATTCAGTGTCAAATTAAACTTTGACTCTTTGATGTCATTTGATCTCATATATATATTGTGGAAGTCTTTAATAATTCAAATATATTGTGGAAGTCTTTAATAATTCAAATATATTGTGGAAACTTTTGTGATCGTTTAGTTGAAAACAACTTATTTGAAAAGCACTTCTAGAAGTTTGAAAAAACAAAGTTTCGAAGAGGAAATCGATTACCCAGTTTGGGAAAATCGATTTCCACATGTTATTTTAGTTTCCAGAGTCTGTTTTTAGTTGAGAAAATCGATTACCTCCTTTTCAGAAATCGACTTCCTCCATGTGTTTTGTATTTTTTAGTTGTTTTTTGAGTTTGTTTTGGTTCAAATGTGTTTTATAGTATCCTATTAATACTCCATCTTGTAATACTTGAAAAACTAATGCCATTTTAACATTTTCTCCCCAATTACTCTCTCTCTCTCTCTCTCTCTCTCTCTCTCTCTCTCTCTCTCTCTCTCTCTCTCTCTCTCTCAATATCTCCAAATTTACTTCATCTTCACCAATTAACCATATTTCATCATTGATTCACCATACAAGCTTTGTGCTTGTTCCAACATTTAGCATCAAGAGCCTTGATTCTGATCCATTAATCCGCTGTAAAAATGACCACCATTTTCAATAATCGTATCCCTGTCAATCTTTCAACTCTTGATTCAAAGAACTATGATAAATGGTACAAACAAATGAATTTTTTTTTGGGTATCAAGATGCACTACAAGAAAAAAAGGGTTTTGTGGCGGTTTTTTAAGGTGTTACGAAGGTTTTAACCGTCGTTAAGTCAGGGTTGCGACAAATTTCCAATTGTTGCAGAAACGTGTGTCACGAGCCTGTTTTGCGACATTCTTGAAGTGGTTAATAATGGTGTTACATCACTTGGGCAAGAAGTTCCAGGTGCTCAAAAGAATGGATTCAAGGAAGAGAAGAAGAAAGACTACAAAGCACTCTTCTTGATTTATTCTTGTGTCGACAATGACAACTTCAAAAAGATTGACAATTGTGATTTAGAGAAGCAAGCATGGGAG